TCATCAAATAAATAAATGATTGATATTTTTGTCACACAATGTAAAAATACAGAGAGACATCAAATCAAATCAAATCAAAATCTCCTTTATTCATGAATGTACAAGTACAAAGAATAGAGTCAGTGAGTACTTATTGTCTATTCACAATATTTTAAATTAAAAAATTCCTCAAAGGAGTAAATTGCTTTTTCTACTAGGTACATTTTTAAAGTTTAAAGTAAAATTTCCTACTATTACATTCATTTTTTATATCTTTTGGTAAAAAATTTATTTATCTAAGGCCTCTATACACCGTGTTTTTTTTTATAAAATTCTAAATTATGCCTGTTTTGTATAACATATTTTGCATTTCTGGTATTATATCTATTACTGGTAGGCCTAGGGCCTACTTAGTTCTAACTGTATTTTTTGTAAATGGTGCTGCTTAGTATATTTTATTGTCTCGTATATATAAATTCCAAACACTGTTAGGATTTCCAAATTAGAAAAATGATACTTTACACTTTCGATCCAATTTAAACTTAGCATTAATCTAATAGCTTTCTTTTGTAACAGAAGTATTTGATTAAGGTTTGATTTTGAGGTCCCTCCGTACACACTAATTCCGTATGATATAAATGAATGTACAAAAGCATAATACACCAGTTTTAGAGCCGAAAGATCACAGACATAGGACATCCTTCGAAGAGCATACAAGCCTGATGACATTTTGCCTACAACATGCTGGACATGAGAGTCCCAACTTAAATTGTTATCAATAATAATTCCTAAAAATTTTAAATCATTTACTTTATTAATTTTAGCATTAGTCTTCAAAATTGTCTCATTGTTTTTATTTTTACGAGAGCACGCCCCGTGGTCGAAAAATCGACCAAAAGTATGTATTGTACAAACTTCTCTATTTTCATCCCACACTGTAAATAAAACATGTGATTGGAATGTCTTCCATTTGTTTTGATTTTCTGTTTATATTGTGTTGTTATTTTGTCATCACCATAGCAACGCATAAGACCCATGTTAATTTTTTAAAATTTCAAATTCATTTTTTGTGCTTATTTTTGAGCCTATTTTAATTTATAAAGGGATTCTGCACACCTACAGGAAAATAGCTTTCTAACGGTATGCGTAGATTTTCCCTACGATACACACGAGCTGAGAAAAAAGGTTTTAAAGAAACATGCTTGCCTATTAATATATAGATAGATTTGTACAGAAAGAAATGTAACTACTTTTATTTTCATTTAAAAGAAAATTTTTGCTGTTAAAAAAGTTTTTAATCTTGTTAATAGAGTGAGAATAAGAACATGCATGGACGCCATTTTTCATATGATAAATTCCATATGATAAATTTCCATCCAGGATACTATGCTGTAATGTATTGCACATTTTTTCTCACATGTGAGGAAGGGAGAGTAATGTCATTATCTATAGAGCCAGTAGCAAGGTCAGGTCAGTTATGAAGTTGCCATAAAAGAGAGTGGCCGACATTATACTGAGTGATGCATCATTGAGTTACAATGGGAGGTTTCCTTTAGATCCTTTGTTTCTTCAATTATTGAAATGCATTGACCATGGTAGAAAACAATATGGTAGACAGTTTGTAATTGTGCCGATTTTAAATTCAAAGATTTAAAATCCGCGCCAGGCAATGGACAAGTCAGTCCAACATGACGTAACGCGGAGGAATACTACACTCGAACCGTGTCGCGTGCAAACGTCTCGTCGTCACTCGTGGCTCAGTACTCGCGTAGTCTACATGTGAAGTCGCGTTTTGTCGCTGGTGTAGGACGAATTTATTAATATCTTAATTCGTAGCTCGGAAATTAGCGTTCGGGCGGAAATTGTACGTGCATCAAACGATCGCAATTGTCAAAATTTCGCCGAATTGCATTTGGGGGTGTGTTTTATTAGTATTAAGTCGAGAAAGTTGAGATGCCGGATTGATTGTTCGCGTTCGTGATGAAAATTCGTACATGCATCATATCGATAGCAAATGTCAGTTTCTAGCGAATCGCGGGTCGTCGTGAAGGTATTTTCAATTGAATCATTAAACGCCAGCTCGAAAAAACAAGAATTAATAAGTCCTACACCAGAAAAAAACCGTGTCGTGATATTCCGCTCGGTCAGACAAAAAGTCAAAATTACCACGAGTCAGTTTTTAAATGTTCGGTACGCGTGAATCTTCGTCGGAATGAATGTTAATGTGTCGACATGTGTACGTAAGTAAATGTTTGTGTTATTTGTGTTTTAGTATTAAAATAGTCTTGCCAATCTGCCACATTTTTTCACATGTACCACTCGTTTTACAAGTTATGAATCATGTTTTGTTTGGTCTGAGATTTTCGTGTTTCATTTGGTCTACTTAGAGCACATGGTCACGATTCAGGATAAAATGTTTTATTAAATTTGGTCATGTCATACAAAGAATTTAAGTTATAATAGTGAACCTAGTCAAATGAAAATTAATTATTAAATTGAATTGAAATGGTGTATTAATTTAAAGAGCAATGTTTATCTGTGATATTATTATTTTTGTATTCTATGTAAAGTCAGATTCTATCATCGTCAGTATTATTATTTAAAACGTTTGAATTTCATGTGTAGAATAATTTTTGAACAGTATTACATTTTTAAATAGTGAGAGTTTGATTGTGTAACGTAAATGGGGGTAACAGAGTGCTCGGTCGAAGGCTAGGGTTGATAAAGGGTCATGAGGATAGACTCCCATTAAATTCATAAATATTAAATATTAAATAAAAAATTATCAAATATTCGACTCAGCAGTCGATTGGCCCCGTTGCACTGATCAGCAAGGAGTGATGTAGATCACAAACCTACATAATAGTCCCTGTTTGATTAAATTGTAAACTGGCCAGTTTGATAATTACGAACATCTTTGGGGAGTCTGGTGATCCAAAACAAATAAATAAAATCATCAAGGCTAGGTTTTCCCGAGACTTTGCAGTTTTAAAAATGAACAAACCGCCAATTTGAACATACAATCTTACAATCAACTCTCTCACTCTCTCTTTCAAAATATTGTTAAATTGTGCACACAAAAGGTTATCACATTGTATAAATTTTATTAATTATTGTATCACAGCTCATTTGCAATTATCATCTCATTATACAGTATTTTTACAAATCACCATCTTTTCATTATCCTGTGTTTCAGCTGTTAGTATTATTAGTATAAAACTGGTAAAGCAGAGAGGTAAATGGCTTAACTGAAAGAGGTATACAAAGTATTCACAATGAGTGTTGATGATCACATTTTGTAAATATATTTTGACAGTGCAATTTTTATAAGCTCAGTTCATAATATTTAATATTAAATTGGTGAATTCATGAGCAATCGGCTTAACCGAATCCAGTGTATATAAACATCTTGAAGTCATACTTTTGATAAATATTTCCTGGACAAACAGTTTCACAAATATTTTCAATCAATATTTCAATATTATTATTTGCAATTTTACAGTTTTTCAGAGTATCAATTCATATCACAATCTTTCGTCAGAACAGCACATTTTAATTCATGGAGTGTTCAAATAGACACATCTATTAGTTTTAAGAAGTGTTAGAATTAAGCTGAAGAAGGTGTGAAGGAGGACAACATATCAGACCTCTCACGGTCCATAAATCGGACTTCTGGGATATTTAATTACAGGGCCCACACTTAACATCTTTATTTCCACTGCGCAGCTCTGTGATTGTAATGTCCTCAGTAGTTCAATTAAAAGTGTAAATTAAATTCATTAAAACCCCACCAGGGGGCAACTTTTTGTTATACTCACACCTGTATGGAATAGCCAAATTGCGTTACATAAAGGTGTGAGGTGAGTTCAGTGATGGAATGATCAATTAAGTAAAGAGTATATTTTGAATATAAGTGAAGAATCTCTTTTTTTTTCTTTACATAATTCACTGTAAACACATTTCTTACATCAACGTACTTTGATACATTTTTTGTGAAGTTTGGATGTGTTAGCTTATGGTTTTGAATTGTTGTGAACAATGTTGATTTTGAAACCCTCATGTGTGATTTTAGCTTAACCTTCATGTACATCAGTCAAAACGTCCCCATCTCAACGATTGATTATTGATTATTGAAAAGGGGTTTCATCCAGAGAAAAGCTACTAGCTTTTTGAAGGTTTATAACTGGACCCAGTGACTACCACCATAGACAAAAAGAATTAAATACTTTTTGTCTATGCTACTACTTGATCATGGGGCTTTTAATAAGTGGTCCTGACTAATGACACAGCTGGTTTAAGTCTTACTCAGTAACAAATAAAGCATCACACTTCACAAGTGACACTTCATCACACTTCATTCTACCCTCATCTTTCACTTGGGTTAAAACACACAACTAGGTGAAATCCCCATCTCAAACAGTAACATAGTATGGTGGTAGTCTCAATGAAGTTTTCAACATCAAAAAGCTACTGATTTTCTAAAATATTTGCCTTTCCCTCTTTCTCTCTTTTATATAGTTATTGAGTTGATTGAAGAATTAGTTAAGGAATAGTGGTTAGTATCTCAAAGCATGATTTCAGCCAAGATTTATTGATTGGGATGAGCTGTGTATTAAGATAGAATTCTTCACAGCAGACTTATGCATTTTTTAAATCTCACCATCACAAAACTATATTGGGGCAAACCTTTTGACAAATATGGCAAAAATACCGACCAACAACGTTTTTGATGTGTCCAATAGAATACATCTTTAAGGAGGGTTAAAATTTAACACTAAGTTCAACAAAAACATTTCACCTAGTACCACTTCATTTTACCTATTACATTTTCTACTGGTTTTACCAGTTCAACGTCGCACTTATTTCCGAAGGCCAAAGATTTTATATACAATATACTTTAAAGCTAATACAGTCTACTTTGTCTGTGGAATCCTACCTTCAAGTTTAAGGAAGTATATTTATACTAAAACATTTTACTTCTTCTTACACTACGAATTAAAAATTTGGTTTTGTTCCTACAGGAAGAGACGTCAATCTCCAGACTTCCTGTTGGACGTAGCCGCGTCCCAGGGCTCTCCGAGCAGACTGACGCGCAGATCCTTTCAAGGAGTGCCTCAGGACTCTTGGGCGCGCAGACGACGCAAACCTCTCTCCCTCTAACACCCCTATGACCAACCCTCCTCATTCAGCCTGTACACATAGCGTATAATCGAATAGAAATAAACGTTTTTGTATAGTCATAAACGCGAGGATAAACTTTAATACATCTTTATACACTATTATTACTCTAGGTGATTTATTTTTCTACAACAGATAGGTTTGTTATCGTATGATTTCGGACGATCTCGTGCTCGAGGATTATGTGATATGGTGCGATTGTTACGTAAATATGTTTTAATTAATAAAGTTTAGGTTACGATGTTTCTCGTTATTTGTTGTTTTTATTTAACCCAATAATATGAGGTAAGGATTTTCAACGATGTTGAAATTTGAAGTGTGTAGTAGTGATGAAGAAAAGTTATACATAACTTATTCCATGGTTTCATTTTTTTCTTTTTCAAGTGAAATGCCTTGTATAGCTTTGTTACTGACAAAGACCAGCTGTTTTATTAGCTAGGACCATTTATTAAACGCCCAATGATTAAAGACATACAATCAACTGCACTTGATGAAAAAATGTCAGTCTTTCCTCAACACTGTCAGTAGTTGATGTTATTGATGTCATACTCCGTCAAAGTAACAAGTTGTCCAATATAGTGTGACAAACGACAAATTCTGGAACCAATCGATGTCGGTTTGATAAATGGTGATCAGACTTGTTAGCCACAAATATAATTCCGTGATAACTCCCTTCTGGTGATTTCACTTATTTATGTGGTCTCAGTTACTGATTTATATTTGACCTAACACTTTTGGTTTTATATTACCAGGTTAAAAAGAAGGCAACTAGTATTTTATATACATCAGGATATGAACCTTCTTTTACTAAATTCTATTTCAGAAAATTAAGCAAGATTAGTGATGTGTGTGGCTTAATGAACAATTTAAATTTGCAAATAACTACCAGTAGAAAATAATTCAGTATCGAGTTTGAATACAGCAAGTACGGTACCTATACATCTTGTCCTGATTGCATGTCCAGTTATGTTGAAGAGTGCTGAGTTAATTACTCTCACGTTTTAGGGTAACTTGTAAGAGTTTGTTTTCTGGTATTCATTCTAGGGTACTATAACTATAAATTACAAATACATGAAAATAAATACTGGTACAATAAAAATACTAAAAATATACTTTTTTTACTATTTTCTTTATTTTTACTGTACTCTAAATTTTCAATTCAGTAACATAAAAAAATTCATTTTAAAAATTTAAATGTTTAAAAGTTATTAGTGTCAAGGTTTATTAAAAAAGGTTGAAAATTCAACCTTTTTAAATAAACTTTCAAAAGCTTTTCATACTATACTCGGTCCCCTCCACTTGATTCAACCTAACAATAGCTCAACAGCTGAGGTTTTCCAAAATATCAATCATCTGCAACATGCATTAAGCAAAAATAAGTGAGGGGGGGGGGAACTTCCCTTCAAACCACCATAAAGTTTGTGAAGGGACATGGATCAGCATCACCTTCAGCTGATCCACGAGGGTGAGAAGTCTGTAGGGTAAAATGCTTAATCAATGGTAAAACCTTTCGATATTGTCTTTTTACCCTGAATTGATATCCCTTTTATGAACCAAGCTCAAAGACCAACTGTTATTAATTTGAAGAAAATTAATGTTATTAAAATAACAATAGGTAACAAAACTGACAATTTTCAAGGGAATATTTTTGTGAACCCCTAACCAGGAGGATGGAAATTTTGCTTAGTCTGCAGATTTGCTGCGGTGGAGGTATTTTTAATTTATCTTTTTCAGTATTTCAAGGTTTAGTAGCACCTTAGGAATCTCCTGTCTCTTTCATCATTTTACATAACTCAAAGCGAGCAATCTTATTTTAACAGAGACAGGGGACTATAATCTGGCTGAAATATTTAGGCGGTTTAAGGGGAATTTTACATATATCCCCCTCTCCACTTATTTGTCTAATAGCCTCTCCAGCTGATAACGCTTTGTTAGCAAATGTCAAAACAAATGAGTAATCATTTGTTGATGTTTTTGTTTACTATGTGGTTTGGTTTCTGTATAATTAAGTAATACAGTGTGATTTGAAATGGCAACTAAAGCTCCAGATATTTCAGTATAGACTAAAAAAATAGTGTTTAGTGTTTATCAAAACCTAAAGGATATAGTTAAGACCCATCCAAATGTTACAGTATTGAAATTATTCTCAAACACACAACAAGCTACTGCAGATGCATGCTCATTGTCACTTCGAAGTATTCAAAGAATTACCGCAGAAGGAAACAAAAATCCTATACATAATAATTGTAGGAACCAATTTCTATCATCTACAAAAAAGAAGCCTCATGAAAAGTGGATTACAGGCCTTGACGGCTTTGACAGAGATGTCGTGCGACGTACTGTATTAGAGTTCTATGATCGAGGAGAATATGTGACCTGTGATAAACTGAAGAATGTTTTAAGAGATAAAATCGGGTTTAGAGGGGGGCGAGACTCTATGCGGAAGGTTTTAAAAAAATGTGGGTTCACATTTAAGAAGTGTAATGATGGTAGGCGTTTTTTAATGGAAAGAAACGACATAGTAACAGCAAGATTAGAATTCCTCCGAAAAATGCATGACTTAAGAGAAGATCCACTACAGCGGCCTATAGTTTACCTGGATGAAACCTGGATTAACCAAAATCATTCAAAGAAATACATTTGGCAACATTCGTCAAACGAAGGTGGTTTGCGTGTCCCAATCGGTAAAGGTTCGAGATTAATCATTGTTCACGCCGGATCAGCAAAGCACGGTTTCATTGAAGGAGCTGAGCTGGTGTTTCAGTCCAAATTGGAAAAACAATGAAGATTGGAAATTCAGTGAAGATTGGAAAAACTACTAAGGTGACTACCACAAGGAAATGAACCACGAAGTTTTCACAGAATGGTTTGTAGATATGTTGAAACTCTTAGATGAGGGGTGTATTGTTGTTATGGACAATGCCAGCTATCACTCAAAACTGAAAGAAAAAATTCCCTCTTCAAAGACTAAAAAAAAGGACATTACAGAATGGCTAACCAGCAAAGGGATACCTCACAACCCGAGACACACTGTCAGAGAATTATTAAACATCGTCAGAAGTCACAGAAAGGAATATAAAAGATTCGAAATCGATGACATTGCTCTGTGGATGGGGCATGAAGTGGCGAGACTTCCCCCGTACCATTGTCAGTACAACCCTATAGAATTGATTTGGTCACAGGTGAAAGGGGAGGTGGCAGAGCAAAACAAAACTTTTAAGATTAAAGATGTGAGAAATTTACTGGAAGAGTCTATTAAACGTGTTACCGTTGAAGATTGGAAAAACTGCGTGCGACACAGTGAGAATATTCAGAAAGAGGACTTTTTAAAGGAAATAGGCATCCGTGATGACAACTTCCAGGAGGACAACTTTAATGGCAAGCCTACTCTGGATGGTTATGACTCAGCATTTGGAGCTCTGACTGATGAACTCAAGACTAAGAAATTCAGTGTGCTGATATGCTCCCCCATGGGTTGTGTGCGAGATTTTGTTCGAATTGAACATTTTTCAAGGAAAATAGTGGAGTTTCACAGGACCACTGGCATTCCAATCATAGTGGTAACAAAAGAACAACCTGGTGCTCAGAGAATACTTCACCATGGACTCTCCCATTCAGAATTTGTCCTTAAGCTGAGACAGAACATCCAGACATTATGCCCGGCAAGCAAACCAACAACTGTACCACTGACACTCTGCTCATCTCAACCGTCTTCGCAGCAACTACAACCACTATCTAGTTCTCCACAGCATCACTCACAACCAACTTCAACACAACTTCCTGCTGTTGGTCTTATCAGCCCCCGGTTGGTTCCAGGCGGTCTCAGCTATAACGAAGTTGTTAAGTCAAAACCATCGAGTGTTGTGAAAAAGCAGAGCAAATGTGTGGTGTCAAGTGTTGAGGGTGATCCATCAGTGTTAGAGTTAGATTCCTTTTTAGATGATAGTTCTCCTTTAATTTTAAACTGATTCATTCTGACAATGACCTTGTACCTGCTAAATTAAGTAACTTAGATAATTCTTTGCACAAAACAAATTCACTGGCTCAAAATAACAAACTAAAAGGTTTATGTAATCAATCTTTTTATTCAACTAACTGTGATTTAATAATGCATTACAATTGTCAAGGTTTAAATTTAACAAAAATTTCAGCTCTCAATTTATTTTTATCTGAGGCCAATTTGAATATTAAAGCTATATCTTTTAATGAACATTGGTTAGATCATAATTCAGCCTCTCTGTTAAATACAATCAATAATTTTAAATTGGCTAGTTCTTATATAAGAGAAAGTGGCTGTAGGGGCGGATCTTGCATATTAGTGGATAAGAACTGTAAATATGTAACAATAACACAGTTTTCCAATTTAAATGAAGACTTTATTTTTGAATGTTCTGCTATTGAACTTGTGGATTTTAATTCAGTTTTAATTTCTATTTATACAGTACCAAATTTCAACATAAGTAAACAGTTTTTAGATAGACTTGAAATTCTATTTTTGATAATACAGAAAAAATTAAAAAAAAATACTGTTTTTGTAACTGGAGATTTTAACATAGACATTTTAACGAATGACACATTCACAAGTAGATTTAAAGAAATTGTTGAATGTAATGGTTTTTGTTTTCAATTTGAGGAGCCAACTAGAATAACAAATACTTCATTTACTTGTTTGGATAATTTTATCACACCCAAAACGTTTAGTTGCCATTACAGGTTAAACACTGAGTTAGGTCTTTCTGATCACAATGCTATATTTATAAACCTTCCTAAGCTAGCCAAGTGTAAAACCATTAAGAATACTTCTAGTTCTTTTAAGAAAAGAATCATCTCTGATAGAAATACAGATGAATTTTGCAAATATCTACAGAGCACTAATAATAATTTTGTATTTAACCCCGCTTTAAACCCCAATGAAAATTACAATAGTTTTTTGAGAAATTTTTTATTATCTTTCAATCATATATTTCCTGTTAAATCGCTAAAAAAGAATGCTAAAACTAATAAATCTACTCTGAATTGGGTGACCCAAGGTATAAGAATTTCCAGTAAGAGGAAACGAGAATTGCACTTGGAAGCCAAGTTTAGTAGAAACCAAGAGTTTTTATCCTATGTAAAGCAATACAAAAAAATATTTAATAAAGTTGTAAAAAACTCAAAAATTCTCTCAAATAATAACCTAATTAGAAAATCTGAAAACAAGTCTAAGGCAGCTTGGCAAATTGTTAACAA